CACCTCCGAATCAGAAGGAACCATCCCACCCACACAGGAGGCACTGAAGCATGATTGCCACCAGCAAAATTTAGGGGCACAGGGGACCCCGGGCAGGACTCCCAGAAACCCAGGGTGCCCACCGTATGAAGGGGCAGCTGGCGGGGGCAGCCAGGCCAGTGGAGTCAGGAAGAGAGGCGGAGGGGGGCGCAGGGGTGGGACACCCGCCCTCCGCAGGCCAGGTAGGCTCTAGGCAGAGGTGGGGGGGGTGCCAGCCTGGCTGGGGGTCCCACGCCCCTCCCCCAGACCCCACCCTACACGTTTTTTCCATCTGACTGTTCCTTAGTCTCTTCATGATAAACTTTTTATAACAAATAAGTGAAACATTTCTCTGAGTTCTCTGAGCCACGCTAGCAAATGAATCAAGCCCGAGGAGGCAACCGTGGGGACCCCTGATTTATAGCTACGCGGTCAGAAGCACAGGTGACGACCTAGCCTTGTGACTGGGGCCTGAAGTCATGGGTGGGGAGGGTGTGGGAACAGTCTCGGGGGCCTGAGTCGATCCCCTGTGGGGCCAGGACTGAGCCGAACTGTCGGACACCCAGCTGGGTGGGAGAACGGCTCGGTGTGGAAACCACTCCCACACTCTGGAATCTGATGATCAGAACCCTCATACGGGCCAGGAAATGCCCTGACCCCTTCTAGAAGGGTCTCTGTGGTGACGTGAGCCTCTGCAGCCAGGGCCACCCAGTGACAGCAGGGAGGGAGTCACTGTGCTTTTACAGAGCAGCTCAGAATTAGCTGCAGTTATCAAAAAAGTCACCCCAATCCCCTCCCTCTTCCCTTTCCAAACTGCACCCCTTGCTTCCCAGGGTCACCTCTGGCTGGTCAGTGGGTACTCCCCTGCCCAGCACCCTGCTCCTGTGGGCCCAATCCCAGGGCCCATCCACCACTCCTGTCCTCGGGGTAGCCCTTCCGTGAAGCGGGGGTGGCGAGGGGGTCCCTGAGGGCCAAGGGCTTATGTGTTCTACCATAGGGGCTTTGCACATACTATCCCAGTGCACTCAAAATGCTGTCTTCTCAGTAAGGCTCCTCTGACAGCCTCATTTAAAATCACAGCCCCATCCCACGTCTGTTACTCTCCCCCACATACATTTCCAAAGGAATCCAGTGTGTCTCACTCTTTGATTTGAGTGCTGTCTGTCTGTCTGTCTGTCTCACTCAGGGAATGTGTGTTCCACGCAGGAATTTGCTGGTGTGGTTCTTGGGGCACTGCTGTGTCCTCAGCCCTGAAAGAACATACCAGCAGAATGAGTTAGGGTGTGAATGAGTGTCTCCTGTCCTCAGCTGTGGCCTGAAGGCACCGCCAAGCACTCCTGTCCCTCCCTTGGAGCCCTTCGGGGGCACCCACTGCTCTCTGAAAGAGGCCTCAACTCCCCAGCCTGACTGGCAAAGCTCCTTCTGTTCTTGGCCTTCTTGCTGTCCTCCCTGGGGTCCCATCCGCACCCTGGGGGCCTGCTCCCCGGCCTCCCCCTGCTTCCCGGGGGCCCCACTCTCCCTGCATCCTGCAATACTCCCCCTCGTGACCTCCTGGCTCAGAAAGGCAGTTGAGGTGCTGTGGGTGCACAGCAGAAGACAGTCTGGTGGGAGAGGCAGAGAAAGGGATGGAGGGTTTCGTGGGGAGTTGGGCCAGGGGGCCAGGAAAAGGAGCAGCCCCTCCTCCTCGCAGCTCTGCCTGCTGCCTGCTCTGTGCCTGAGTCTGGGGGGAAGGTGGGCCTGGATTCAGCCCTATGGAGGAGGGTCCCCGCTGAGGGCTGTGTGGGAGACTGGGAGTGGAGTGGGCCAGCATCAGGCCAGGAGAGGCCAGTGGGCTCACCGCGGAGGGTAGCTGGGGGCGCCTGGGAGGGGTCGCAGGGATGCAAGAGTGGCCAAGCGCAGGGGCCCCAACTGGGCTGGCCAGAAAGGCTGGGGAGGGGACAGTGGGGTTCCAGACTAGGAAGGGAGGACACCACCGCGGCCCAGGAAAGCGGGGAGGCCTCAGATGCACGCACCCCTT